GCACTGGATTCTTTAAACAGCTGCATTAAAAAAGGAATAAGTAATTTTTCTAGAAATATTTTAGACATTTTTTAGCAACATGGAGATCTCTTTAGTTTCAAGTGGTCTAAAATAATCAGGTGACTAATAAACTCACTTTAATAGTAGTGTAGCATGGATTTTCCCATAACAACTTGAAAATCAAATTTTACTGCTTGTTGTAATTCCCATTCATTGTTTTCAGGGGACCTAATTTGTAGAATGTTAAATTCCAGGGAAATGTTTAATGGGGAAATGATTTAGCAAAGCTTATCCACTTATAAGCTGAAATATGGTTCATATCTACTTATTGAAGGAATAATGAAATGATGATATGAAATGCATTTTACATTCATTCTAAAATTCCCAATTACCTTATTCCAAGTAAGCTGGGACTGAAAAGGCACCATGATTAAACCATTTTAAAATATTCTTAGCAAAATTCTTCTACTGAAGTAAGAAGTAAAGGATAAAAATAATAAGGGACTATTTTAAGAAATTATCCTTATATTTTAATAAGTAGAATTTATAAAAAAAAGTCTTTTGCTTACATTAAGATGTTTCCATTACTGATTATGAACTTGAATGTGTGCTTTGATTAATAAATACATCAAATAATACAACTGAGTATATTTTCTTTAGTATTTTTTCCTGTGTTTCTAATTATAAAATAATGTTTCTCTCCAAAAGAAAGTGCTATGAATAACGGATATGAGAAACTGTACGGTAGAATTAGATTATGCTATTTCCTTAGTTAACTTGTTATTTTTCAGGATAAATAATTACTCGGACTATATAAAAATCTAAAATATGGACCCGTCATCTGAAACAATATAATAAACAATGACCATCATAGTGCAATAAATCTTTGTTTTTATTTATTACCCTTAAAATAATCTCTTTTGTATTTTTCTCCCTTTCCCCTAGATATCTTTAAGAGCAGCATTTTAAAGTTTTATAGAGTATACAATAGGGTGCTTTATGATGATTATTCATATAATAGTTTTCCAAAACTTAGGTTTATCTGGAATTCAATAGATAAAACTCAAATAACAGATGGAATGAAATAAGAATTTTATAACAGCATATGTCATTCCTAATGATAACCTTATTCATAACGACAATCTGATCCTACAATGTCTCTGAATAAGCAAATAATATTATATTCTGTCTGGTATAATTCACTATTAGTTGACATTCATTACTGATGCATAATACATATAAATCTCAATTAAAATTTTCCCAATGTGTTAAAGCAGAATATTCACCAATGATTTTTTAAAATAAATCATAGTCTAGAGACCATTAAATATACCATTTAATTAGCCTGACTTATATAGATTAGTCTATAGTTTAAATAACTGGATGAGGTTCATGGCAAGTAACAAGTTCTATTTATAAGCTGTAAACCACTCAGCTTTTGTTTCTTGGTTTTCTTCCTCAGTAAATTACCTCTATTCTTCAAGTGGCTAGTTAGCGGCCCAAGCAAGCCAACTCAAGTGAAAATCCAGTGCAACTGTAAATTATTGAGGTCATTTTATTATGGTAAATATGATCCTTCATTTTATTATCATAGAATCTGGCATTCAAAGGCTGATAGCACCAAGCTGCAAAGACTTTTCAGGGAGTGATTTAAGATAGGAACTCAGGGTTCTTGGTTTACTATCTCATCCTTAAAAGCTAAGGCTTACTTCTGTAACTATTACAGGTTAGTGACTTATGAATAAGGATTAAATTTCATTTTCACTGTGAATAAATTCAATTTCATCACTTCTAGCTAAGAATGCTTACCCACCCAGACAGGTACAAATAGAAATTTGCTGTTTATTAACCCTTAGTTCAATAGATATTTTTTAAAGGAGAAGACTACTATTTAAAATGTAGTTTCCTCTAATAAGGAAACAAAATTACTAAATTTCCTAAAACTACAGGGAATGGAAACTCTGCTGTTTTAGAAAAGTAGGGTGATCTTGATGTGGTTCTTATTTCTAGAGATAAGTCACATTTATTTTCACATGACAGTATTCAACATTGAGAGGAATCTTTAATTTTTGCAAGCAAATTTTCAACTAAGATCTTCAAGGACCATTAACAAAGCGTTGTACACATAATTCTTATACTATCCTTTTCTATCACTCATCTCGTTAGTGGCAATTTAGAATAACTTTGGAAAGTCAAGCTATTTATTTACAAGTCAGATTAAATACTCTTAAATATTTATGTTCATTTCCTTTTGAATTAAAAAAAGCCCAGAAAAGAAAGACTTGTTTTGAAAATTCCTTTAACCACTATTTAAATTCATTTTAAAATTTTCTCCCATGTTATTATGAAAGTTTTTTTACTCCTTCTTGTCAGAGATTTCCCCAAAAATCTGTTTATTCTTGAGCAATATATATGAGCTTGCTGTGCACATGGGGCTTGACCTTGAATCTGTGGACATTTAATAAGGATCTTTCCTCACCTCCCACCCCTTCCCATTTTCCCAAAAAGTCAGGCTGCACCTGCCAAAAGAAAGCCTCGTCTGTCTCTTTAGAGGACACAAGGGGTCGCCCCTCTCCCAACATTGAACCAGCCAATGCCACCCGCAGCAAAAGCACACTCAAAGGCGAAAATAGCAAAAGGAATCCTCTACAGGAATTCTTTTCAGCATCTCTCCCCTCAACACTTGGAATTTCAATTCAATTACACCTATTATCTTTCTCACTCTCCCAACATAACCAGAGATCATCGCCCTTGGGACAACTGTCAGGTTGGAAAGAAGCTGGGCTCTTGATTCAAAGATAGTTCTAATCTCCAAGCTTCAAAGTGTCCCCACAGCCCTGGGCAGTTACTCATATTATGGGCCTTCATGGAAAGGTGGGAAGATGTGAACCACAAACTTTTTTTTTCTGGTAATTTCTTTTCAGAAACCAAAAGGAACTGCTTTCCAGTAGAGTTTCTGCTGTTAGTGACTCTTACAGAGTAGAATTTCACCAGAGGGCTTCCAAAGGTCTAAGTCTTTATGGAGGCCCACTGCCATTCTTTCTCTTATGAAGGAAGCTACATTTGGGTTCGAAAACCTCCTACCTTTCATTCAGGAGCAAGGGCTTAACTATTGCACTACCAGGGTGCCATTTCTTTCAGAAACAGAATCCCAAAGGTACAAATCCAGATGCTTCTGACACTAGGGACCCTGCCCTGCTCTCAGAAGTGCATAGCGACCTACCAACCCTGGGTGTTCTCAGTGAGATAAAAGGGGCAGTGGGCGGCGATTGGGAGGAGAGGTTGTGGAAGAGGAAAGTAGGAGGGTGCGTTTCTGCCTGACCTCCCCTTTCCAAAAGACCTGAAACTCAAGTCCCTAGTGCCCAGAGAGGAGGGGAGGGGGGAACAGACAGGCACCATTGGAGCCTTGGGCTTCTGCACTGCAGCAGTGAAAGGGTGGGTGGGCAATTACAAGAATACAAACCATTCTGAGACCAAGAATAATAAGGATGCCCCCACATACTGGATTTAGGCCCTCCTCCCTTCTGCTACACCAGCCCCAAGGCGCTGAGGCCAGGCCAGAGCCACTGGCGCTCCGGCCCAGCCCCATCTTTTCAAGGCAGTTTTCAGGTGAATCAAACCTTGTCTGCCCCAGGCGAGCAGCACAAAGGGAGCTTTCAGGGGACCCTCACGCCCAAGGGACCGAGCAGGGACAAAGAGCAGCTGAGAAGCGATTACTCCAGGTCCATCTCACACAAGCTGGTGTTGTTCTCTTCACCCTGCATCCATCCACGCCTGCCCTGAGGGGCTCTGCTGGCCAGTGGCAAGACGCTACCATTCACGGTTGCCCTTACCCAGGGAGGTGTGAGAATCCAAGGCAAAAACCTCTCTCTGTGCAAGCCCTCGAGAGCACCTATCCCTTCCCCTTCCCCACCAGCACCCCAACATTAAGATAATCTGCAGCTGAATTTCCAGTGAGGAGACGGACCACAGAGTGGAGAGCCCGCAGGGCTAGTGACGTGCAGGCAGAGGCGCAGTCCTCGCATCTGTCCCCTCTTGTTAGGAAGGAGCCTCCTTGCACAGGCTAACCGGGGTTCGAGACCATCCTTGATGAACGCGTGCCCTTTTTTAACCTCAGCTGGAGTCCTGCAGCATTCTTTACTAGCCAACCATACAGTGACAGGGAGTAAGGAGACCGGACAGTCAGGAGATGAGAGCTTGAGGTTTTAGGGTAAATTCACTTCTCAGTTAGGTGTCTGTCCCTGAAGTCACACTCAGAAGGACCTTAGAGGAAAACGTTCATGTGTGACAGGTTACTGGAAAACTGGTACCCTTGGTTCCCAGCAGCCCCGGGCCAGCTGTCTGCATCCCAGGTGTGGGGCGCCGGGGCGCTGTGCAAATGTGCAGACTTGCGAACCCCGGGCGCCCTGGGCGCCCCCCTAACCGCCCCCTGCGAATGCGGGGAAGTCGCTGCGCAGGCGCTCGCTCGCCTCCCCGCCGCTCAGCCGGTGTGCGCTTTGCTGCACCAGCGCCAGGTCCCCACCAAGCGAGGGGTCTCCCCGCGCACGGCATCCTCCCACAAACCTCCCCAGACCTTAAGCCAGCCGGCAGGGCATCTCAAGCTGCGGGCGTCCGGGCGGTTGGTCTCAGGGTTGAGGTCCCTTCGGACTGTCATAAATAAAGCTCAAATCCCTAGAGAGAGTTGAAGGAACGGCGAGAAGTTTTTGGTGAATCAGAATGGACTCACCAAGTGGAGAGGATGGACAATAGAGACGATGCCACATGTCCTGTTGGCTGTGGCACCCGGGAAGATGCTAGGGAAGAGAGGGGCGTGAGAGATGCGCCTTGCGCACCCCTGAAACCCGCTGTTGCATCTTCGGGGAGGCTTGGGGTGCAGGGCTGGACAGGCGCGTTTGCAGAAGCAGACACAGGACAGACAGGCAAAGCGAGCAAAGAGACGGACAGGTGAACCAGGCGGGAGGGAACGAACGCAAAGTCCATGAGGCCCCCCACACACTTACTTCTTCGCTGGCGCCTTCCCCGGGAGGCGTTCTGGCTGCCGATGTATTCCATAAAGTTCAAAATGATAAAAAACCAAGAAATCAGTCGCAAGTGCATAGTAACCCAATAACGGTTCCTTTTCGTCTTCTTCTTTTCTTTTGATCGTTAATTACAGTTTAAGGTTTTAAAATTAACGTGTGTCAGGCGTGTGTGTGTGTGTGTGTGTGTGTGTGTGTAATAGGACAAACTCAAGCAGCGGGACAAGTCTCCCCTCAGTTCCGACAGGCGTGATGTGATGGCAAAAGAAGCCGGGCGGATAGACAGGGAACCCAAGGATTGGACTTTCAAATGGAACTGAGCTGCGGCGGCTTGGCGAGGGTGGCTGTCATCGCCGCGAGGAGCGCGGGGTCCGGGACGAGCGAGCCACGCCGGGCGGCCGCAGGTAGCATGGTGCGCGGTGGCAGCAGCCGCAGGCGGGATCCGGGCGGGCGGGCAGCGGCGGCGGGGGCCCCTCGGGCTCAGAGGCAGCGGGGGCTGCGGCGGGG